ACGCTGTTACCTGCCCACCAAAGTGGTACCTTTTTATCTACTTGCATTTGCATACTTTCAAACTGCAAGGTTGGCAGGAGCTGGGATGGAGCAATGGAAACTCAACCTGTTGTGCAGATTTGAACCGGCGACCTTTCAATCAACCAGCCCAGCAGCACAGTGGTTTAAACCACTGTGCCACCTGCAGTCCCAATCTACCATACTCCTTAGTTATTTTAATTAAAATATCTCAAAACTAGTTAGAAATTTGAAAATGGGGGGGAGGAGGAGAAAACATTAGGTCTGAGGCAATTTTCATCTTCTAAACACTCTATGCACTCACCCATCCACCTCACTTACAAGTGTTAAAAATTGTGGGGGCAGGGATAGGGAAAATAATATTAATACTAACCCCCCCCCCCCATACACACACACACAGTTGTGTCTGTGGCTGTTAAGGACCACCAAATGGTCAAACTTAAATATTTTTTACCCTTTGAGCACTGTGTAGTAGCTAGATACACTATTTTGTTTGCAAAAGATGTTTTTAATATTTTTGCAGGATACTCCCAAATTCTGATGGGTGGTAGGAGGGGCACAAGGGAGCTGCAAGGCCTGCATGTTTCCTGCCTCTCTTTACAAAAGAGAAATTTGAAAATCATCTTAAAATCATCTCACCAGTCATCTCAAAAGATCACTTGGGGTTTTTTTCCTGCAAATCCTGAGCTGCCCCTTGTCTACCATGGGACTTTCTCAATATGTCATTTGCCCAATGACAGGGATATATTTGCCCAATGTATATATTGGATATTTATATCTAAATATATTGGATATTTATATTGGATATATTTGCCCAATATATAGCAGGAAAAAGTCCAGAGTCTTGCTTAAAAACAAAACAAAACAACTGGCCATGGTGATCTGAATGTAGGGGACTTGGAGGGCTTCTCTGCACAAGGAAATTTATTGTGTTCTCATGATGCTTTGCTCACAGAAGAGCTTCTCTTGAGTTTTGCAGGCTTTTTAGTGGGTTCTTTTAGAGTAAGAAAAGTCTGGTATTAAATTTTAAACTGCAACATACAAGAATGAAAGCCTGTAAGAAGTCACAAATTCGCTATAATGTTGTGCCATCTTGTGGAGGTTGGCTAATAGAATATATAGAAAGGCAAAGAAATGCAACCCCCTGGGGGACCCCCCTTTTCTTCCAGGAATGAAAACAAAAAATGCCTTGATAAAGCAGTGGGTTAAACCCCTCATTAATCAGCCCCTTTATCATGGGCCAGATCATCATCTGCAAATGAATAGACATGGCACCTTTTCTCCTCTGCAAGCATGGGGCCCTATTAAGATGGCCCACCCCAATGGATCTGGATGGTTTCCACAGGGCTCAGGGACAGCCATGTGCATGTGTGTGCCCTGTCTGATATGCCTGGTTCTCCTGCTGAAACCCTGCTCCGTCTGTGGAACACATGTAGTTAGCTCAATTACTCCCAAGTTCCCTGTCCAGAGCAGAGTCTTGTCTTGCCGCATGGTATTACCTAGAGCTGAGAGGACTGCAACAGAACAGGAGAAAGCTTGAATGCAGATGAAGAATAAATCCTAGTGGATGTAACTCAATACTTATGGTCTGCCTATGTCAGAGGCCCATGAGGGTGTCAAAGAAACATTATCTCTGTGCCTCTATTGAATCTTCTGTTTGTTGCCCAGTGAAGCTCTCAGGGTCGTCTGGAGCTTACTACATGCTGGCCCTAAGGATACAATGGATCCATCAGAAACCCACTGTGAAACATTTGCAAGACACTTCTAAAATAAAATGTTTTGCATTTGCTGAGACTCCAGTGTTACAGCAGATGAATCAAGTAAGTTATCCCAACCACAGCTCTGTCCAGTCTTTTTGGATGATTCTCAGTTGCTGCAGCTCAATGACTTAGCTTTAAAAGAGGATTGGACAAATTCATGGAGAAGAAGGCTATCAACGGCTATATGCTATCTCCAGTATCAGAGGCAGCATGCCTATGCACACCAGTTGCTAGGGAGCCTGGGGAGGAGGGTACTATTGCACTTGCTTGTGGAATCCTGTGGTCAGATACTTGGCCACTGTGTGAACTGACTGCTGGACTAGATGGATTCTTGGTCTGATCCAGCAGGGCTCTTGTTACACTCAGAAAAGGGTAACAGTTGTCTAAATACAGTAAGAAGTTGTTACCCAAGAGATAGGGCCCATGTTATTTAAGGGAAAGACACAGAGGAATACATCAGAGGGAAAGAAGGCAGAACTATTCAGCAAAATGGAGCTATACTGTATTTTGGACTGCACATTTAAAAGCAACTTTGCATAAGGAATCATCTGCAAACATCCCAGACTATCCCCTCTGTAGCTGGAAAGCGGAGGGTTAAGTGCCCATCACATTCAGCAGCTGCAGCAGCCAAATTAGTCATTTGTTGCCCTAATGGAAACCAATTACTCCGCTTTGATTTTCATTTCCCTCAAATAAAGTAGCCTGGATCTCAGTGGCTGCTCCTTCTGCCCCAGCAATTACTCTACAGACATAACTGGTCAACTTTCACACCTGCTTAAACAGTGCAGGGGTCAAAGGGTAAGTCAATGGCATGCAGCCTTTCTTTCCCTCACTGCCCATCTTGCAGAGCAAGATTAGCTTTCTACAGAGTCAGAATTACTAGATGAACCTAGGTAGCTCTGCCCGTCTTTGATTTATCATATCGATCAGAGATTGCTTGTTGCATTTTGACCCTTTTCTAGTCAGATAGTCTCACCAGACTACTGCCCTTGCCAATATGTCCTCCAGTTTAGATAGAACATGCTAAAGCCACAACACTGATCCTAACCTCAGAGAGCCATGGGGTACAGAAAGGCAGGAGCATACCAAAAATCCAAAAGTCTCAAGAAATTTCACGTATGCTAATGGAAATTAAGAGAGCCAAATCATGTAGTAAGCATCCAAACAACTAGATGTGGGTATACAATGTCAGAACAAAATGATCAAAAATTCTGCCATAATACTCGTAGCTGCCAAAAGACTGACACAGTAAGATCAGTTTTTGATTTAAGGTGGGATTCCTGATTTGATCAAGAAATCATGTTGCAAGTCTTGCTCCCCACTTTCTCCTTAGATGTACTAACCTGTGCCTGTCCTGCAACTTCTTTCTTTTGGCACATTTTAGATACGTGAATGTTTGCCAGTCCTGAAAGTTCTTTCTTTTGTGTGGTCTGTTTCAATCTGTCAGCCCTTTTTGTTTCACTCTCATGTGCCTCTGGCAAACTGCCTACATGATCACCCACCCTCCCCCAAACTGTGCCTGTAACTGATAGGCTATAAAAGCATCTTGTACAGCCTCCATCTTTGTAGTTGCTTTGGGAGCTACCTACATGCTGTGTGTATTTTTTTGTACGTCCAATATGTCTGAATAAACAGTAAATGTTATTTTGATTGTACACCCTCAGCATACCTACTCTCTCTGACTTTCTAGTCAACCACATGGATTAAAAAAGGTCCCTTGGTATAGCTACTTTGATCCACTTTCAAAATTCAACCACTTGTCCATGAGAATTTCCTCTTTCCCACCTTATCCAAAGCTCCCTGCACATACACATTCACGCTTCTTGGACAGAGATAACAGTACAGATAACAACTTAGGAAGATCATCCATACAACAAGCCAATAATCACCGCACCAGCACATAAAGAGAATTAAGGGGCAAGATGCATCCATAGCAAGGGTGGGGGAAGGGCTTCCTGCCAATACTTCTCAATTCTAGAACATTCAAAGCAAGGGTCCATGCAGGCAAGAATCTGTGTACGATGCACACACCAAGAAGGTGAAAGAACAAGATTTAAGAGGAAAAGAAGAGATAATTTTCCTGAATGCTAACATTATTGCTTTAGTCATGTTTCTTAGATGTAATAACCTTTTTAATGCTATTAAACTAAAAAATGAAGCAGGCCAATTACAATATTATTATGCATAACTATTTTAAAATAAAACCTGCAGCAACCTAAATCAGGATTTAAACACCTTGTGAGTTCCTCTGTTGGGAACCGGGTAGTGGTATGAACTCTAGTTCTTCTAACCCACAGAAGCACATTGCTAGGATAATGGTGTTCCATGATGCTCCTATACTGTATCAATGTGCCGAAGCAAGGGTAGCAGGGCTACAGGACTGGATCATGAGCTTGGTGATTCAGCATAGCAACAAAAAGGATGCCAATGCCTCTAGCCATGAGCCATTCCTCAGCATGCTACTTCCTGGTGAGAACCTCAGTGGGGATATTGAGACTGGTGCCAAGGGAGTCACTGATTTGTTTCAAAAAGATGAAAGGCTCAAATGTGTATCACAATGAATCAGAAGCCTGAAGTGCTAGATATCAAGGACATTTCCACATCACTTGCTTGTGGGCTTTGTAAGAGGGGCACACTATCTGCAGAGCTAAGAATTGTTTGGTGTTTGGTCCTGAATTATTCACAGAAAGGGAAATCATGCCTGCCTCAGTTTGCTGCATCTGCAGATATTTAAAATTCCAGAAATGTAATGTTGTGCCAAAAGGATACCAGACAAAATTCTGTAAAACCTGCATTACCTTTTGTGATTACCTTTATGATTTTCAAGTGATTATGGTACCATCCATATGCTTCAATGTCCTCTCCTATGCTGTACTCTATATGTCTATTTACACATTATGCGGAGGTTTGGATACCTAACTCCAAGCTTTCAAGAAGTCCCCATTATGGAAGCCTGTGAAGGTTTGTGCTCACTGAAGTTCAAACATTTTCTTAAAAACACCTTAACAGGATTAATTACAGAAGGCTTCTATGAATTATTATAATGAAGGTCACAAAGAAACTGATTATACTGCAGACATAATGTGCAAAAAGTTCTAAGTAGATGAAAGTGACTAACTGTTGGGGGCAAGAAGTGTATTCCACCCTGTGATATACTCAGAATAAAGTCTTGTCTGTTTCTTCCATCATTGCTGTGAGTCCATAGTCCCCTGAAATAGCAAACACAGCCAAGGTTGAAGAATGACTAAAACTAGAAGCCTTATAGACACACATTGAGGCACCTTGAAAAACAGAGGCACCTGTGCTGCAAAACAAGATTACAATCTCCCTTCTTTTAGCAGACTTGCTTCCTCATCTCCCCTGGTAATCATGTTGCTAGCTAAGTGACTGCAGTTCTTGTGTGCCGCTCTGATGACCAGTCTCAGAATAACTGTCCAGGAGTGTTCTGCCCTCACATGGCATAGCAAAGAAAGTACATGCCATTCAAAAAACAAAATAAACTTCACTACCGCTTCTCTTCTCTCCTCCCCTTCTATCACCACTCCCTCTTAACACAAACCAATTGAATCGCTCCTTGGTCCACAAGGCTTACCGTTCAGTGTTCACCGGCAGCTTGCAAACAGGAGCAGAAGAGGGGGAAAGTGTTCAGATACACTGAGCCTGCTGAAAGATGATACAAGCAGCAAGAAGGACTGATTCTGCTCAGTATTGCCCAGAAAGGACAGTTTCAGGGTAAGAGCTGTTCTTTTTGGTTTTTTAGCATTTCCATTTGGGATTACAGAAGTGAAGGGATGTTGTCCTACCTAAGCCTCTTTTGTGATGGATCCATACAGGAGTTGCCTAACCACAGGATGGGGAACCACTAATGGAAATTTTGGATTCAAAGGATGCTTGGATCAGTGAAACAGAAAATGGATCTGACTTTTCAACGCACCCAAATTATTGAAAAGGCAGCCTCAAACGGATGCAAGGTTAGGTTATTTGGAGAGAATTGCAGAGTGGCAGATCCAATCAACATGTTTGAGGCTTCTGAAGTAGAGTTCGAGAGGCTCTATCTAGACACACCTTGCCTTTGAAATTATTGGCATCAATGAATAGAAACAGACTTCAGCCAGTTTGTTCAACTTGAAAAGTGGCAGGCTGAGCAGCAGTCACATGCTGGCATTCCGCTGCAGTGTACCATCTAGGCAGCACCGGCTTATTTCCAGCAAAGCGTACTGTCTTTTCAGGAGCCAAACTTGACCTCTCCACAAGCAGCACCTTATTTTAGAGATGCGTTCCACGGCTGCCCATGCATGCTGCAGCACTCCGTGGCAGAGTTATACTCGAGCGTGAAGTTTAACACAGTGATTCTATGCTGCTGGCAACACAGGCTGAACTTCACTCTTACATGATGAATGTGCTGATATTGGCTACATTTAATTGGAAACTCCTTGGAAAGCTTCTTGTATTCTTTGAACTGTGCATTCAAGTTAGCACCTTAAATGATTTTTCCACTCACACAAGATGCCCTGAGGTCTGTATTTGTACAGCTGATCTCTTGAGTTGTGCCAAGAGGAATATTCAGCAGGTCCCTGTCATGCTGCCTCCCACAGCCACTACCTTGGATCTCAGCCATAATGCCATTGTTCAGCTTCATAATCATTGGCTGACTGCCTTACCACGCCTCCAAACCCTTCGGATCAGTCACAATAAGATCAGTAACATCACCTGGCAAGTGTTCTACAATGCCACTTCCCTTGAACACCTGGACATTTCTTCTAACTGCTTGCACACTGTGGAAAAGTACTACTTTGAAGGCCTTGTAAACTTGAAAGAGCTCTTGTTGTACAATAACAAAATTGTACAGGTAGATAAATATGCTTTTGCCAAGCTAACCAGTTTGCAAAAGATCTATCTAAGTTGGAACAAGTTGACTACATTTCCATTTGATTCCATTCAAAGACTTGAATATCCTTATTTGAGGATCCTAGATCTTTCTGCCAACAAATTAAGCAGCATTCCTGTTGACGTAGTATCAACCTTGCCTGTGTACATTAAAAATGGCTTATATCTTCACAACAATCCTGTGAGGTGTGACTGCTCTCTTCACCAGATGTTTCAGGAATGGAATCACCGTGGTTTCAGTTCCATACAGGATTTCAAAGAAGAACACACTTGCAGAGCTTATGCCAGTGTGCCGCTCTCCTTAGTCGATACCTTCAAGTACAACAAGTATTTCGGAGATTGTCCCTGGAGCGAAAGCAAACTTGGCATTCCAAAGGTTTTTTGCAAAGTGGGAGAATCCTTAATAATGGACTGTAACACAAGCCTCCATAATGACAATTCCACCACCTATAGGTGGATCTCTCCTCGCCATGAATTATTCAGATATCCTGAGCACGGTGATCAGACTCATCAGCCTTTCAAAAATGGAAGCTTAAAGATCACAAATGCTCAGCTTTTGCATTCTGGTGTTTATGTGTGCATAGCGATCAGCGAGCTCCAAAATATCAACCGGACACATGAAGTTAATGTCACAGTCCAGTACCCCAAATTAGCTGAGCCTTTCAAAACTGCCCTCACAACCCTCTTAGGGTGTATTGTAAGCCTGGTGCTGGTCCTTATGTACTTGTACCTAACACCATGTCGCTGCTCCAAGTGCTGCAAGAAGCCTGTAAGCCCACCCCAAGAATGCAGTGCCCAGTCATCTATCCTCAGTACTACCCCACCGGCCACTGATGGGCCAAGTCGCAAGATCAGTGCAAACAAGCACGTTGCTTTCAGGGAGCCCATCAAGGAGGGCCAGAATGGCAAAGTCAGGCTGGCTGTCGGTGAGGATTTTCCTGGCACTAAAAAACCCAAGCCACCGCAACTTAAGCTGGACACCGAATCTATCAGTTCAGTCTTTTCTGACCATCCCATCATAGCCAAGGAACAAGTACAGTCACCGACTAATGCATAGCAAGCAAGCCCCAGGAAGAATGTGGTGAGGTGAGACTGGAACAGAGTTTGGGTACATTACCTTCATGAGAGGGAAGAAAAAGCAAGATATATTTATAAAGCATTTCCTCACCAAAAAGTATGGACAGTTTTGGTATGTGTGTTTGTTTGCCTGCTTGTTTTTTAAACCTCCCTTGGATGCAGGATTCACTTTTATTTTTCTGTCATCTTCCCCAGAAGGAAGAATGATTTCTTCCACTAATTCCAGTTTAAATGTCCAGAATTCATCTATTATGCACAAAGAGAAGCAACAATCTTTTATCCAAAAGAAAACAGAAGGACTGCAGCCTATTTGGTCATCAAGACTACAATGTTATGGCAGAAAGTACCTTTGGAAAACTCCTATAGAATACAAGCTTGTGTTAGTGCTTTGATCTTCAAAGAATAAACATTTGCTATGTAACAAGCCTATTGTTTTCATTTCAGGAGAAGAAAAAGTGCCATGCCTTTGCTATACAAACAGGGGAGCCTTTCTTACTTTTTAACTGCTTTAGCCAGCTACTGCTTCTAATAGTGTTTTGGAAAATAAATTCATGAGCCCACTCTTTCCAACTTCTGGGCTGTATGGAACAAGTTGCAGCATGGTTAAAAATTGAAGCAATGGTGCCTTTAGAAAGGCAACAAACCCTGCTCCGGATGATCACATCATATGCATGGATATGTGCAATCAGCCACGTAAGTGTCAGGAACTGTAAGAGTTTGTCTTTGTTTGAACCAGTTTAACAAACTGTTTTATTCCACTGAATGCAATGAACATGATAGTTTTCCCTTAAAAGTTCCCTGGGAGTCTTTTTAGCGAGCAATCCCTAACGGCAACTAGGCAGTCATGGCTATGATCAATTTTTCCCAGCTTAGGAATTCATTGTTTTTAGACAGTTACAATATAGAGATATTTATGCACCAGATACTTATGTTTGGGTTTGACCTGAGAAAGACAAATTACATACCTTGCTGTTAGTACAGCAGAGGAAAATTTGGGGTCCAAATGATGGGTAGTCAGACAAGATTAAAAAGAATGGTCTTCCAATCACAGTGCTGATGCTCTTTTGTTTAGGTGTTTTTATGAACAATTAATCTATGGGTGCCTCAGTCATTTAGCTAAATTAGATAAGACCTAAATGCTGATCTGTGTATATTTATATAGGGGGAAAATGTGAGTTATGTTTTTGTGTGTACATTCTCCCCCCCCCCCCCAAAAGCAATTCAGAGCTAAAGTTTCCTTGTCATTCTTGCCATTACCACCCAAAGCAGCTGTAAATAATTGCCCAGGAATGTATTAGACTAATTATGCATTTCACAATATACCAATGACCCACTGCACTGGTCAGCATTCATCATGCAGCACAGTCTTATGTAAACCATCTCTTCTGGCTTCTTTCTCCTTGAAAAGGGCAGATTCGTTTGGGAGGACCAATCAGACAGCTATTTTGGTAACACTCTAACTGATAAAATAAGAAATTGTAACCTGGGGCTAAATGTCCTCTCAAGTTACATTTAAATAAAAAACACCTATTTTTTAAAAGGTTGTTTGCAAGTGCCTTTGTCTCTTAAGATTATAGGACAAAGCTGGATTTTACCTTGTCCATGACTAGGTAAAACTCCACACACAAAGTGCCAGATCATATAACATTAATCTGACTAAATGAAAAGGAGATCAAATCTATACCATTATGAACAAAAGCAACTAGCACATTAAATGATACAACTATCTCTGTTAGTAAATCTAAGTTATAAAACAATTTGAATTTGACAGGGTGGTTATGATTGGAGAGTGTAAAGAAATGAATGGAAAACAGAGACTAATGTAAAAGCAACTGTGAGTGTGGGAAGAAATTTGTCATTTTCATGTGAATAAAATACTTTGTTGCTTCTAAGCACAATATAATTATGCAATGGTGTATCACAACCATATCAAAATTGAAGGTAATGAACAACACATTGGCACATTGCTACAGAGCAATTATTTTCATTATTTATTTGCAGTTTTGACTTGCATATCTAGGTGAAATTATCTAGTAAATTGGGATGTTGATATATCTAGGTGAAATGACTCTTCAGAATTCAGGTGCAAAATCAGATGCAGTCCCCTGGTCAGCAACCTGTTCCCCTGGACAGCCATTTGGAGAAGGGCTTGTGAGCTGATGCTACAATCTCTTCCCCCAAAACTGATCTGCTGGCAAGTTCTGTTGGCATAAAAAACCTTTCAATGTTCTTCACTTCTAGATTGATAGCTGGGGTTCTGATGGGCAAGATTCAGCCTCCAGCTGCCAATTCATGTGTTTGCTCCCCTGCAGAGATCATTTATTTTATTTGTTTGCATTTTAGTCTGTCCTATCCAATGGATCAGAATGCACAAAATTAGTAATCACATCTCCAATTCTTTTTTCCTTTAAACACCCAACTAATAAATATCTCACTTATCCCTGGCCACAAAAGCCTGAAAGGTACATAGCCTTGCACTGTTACAACCAAGAGGTCATCTTAGTCAAGTATACAGACTGCAAGGGTGGCAGTGGTGATAAACCAGACTGGAAGTCTGGACTGCCACACTGCAACAGATATATGTACACAGATGCTATCAGTGAATCCTGGTCCTTGTACTGCACCCACTGTGAACGCATGAGAACAGCAAATCTCTTGCTGCCTTCCTACCTTTTTGAACAAATATGTGAGACTGGAATAAAAAGGAAGACCTGAATGGTAAACCCAGAAGCTCCCCTTCCACTCAAGTGATGTAGGGTCAATGTTTAAAGGGGCAATGCATTCCCACTTGGTTCAATTTCCTGGAGAAAGTGGTATACACTTTCCCTGAGGAAAATAAAGCAAAGCATTTCCCCTGTTGGACATGTGTAATATAGAGAATGTTAAGGGTTTGGGGGATCCAGCTCTGTAGCGTCTAAGGCCACATCTGCTACCTCTACAAATCCTGAGGCAAAAACCAAAACAATTCCAATTAATGGTAACAGCAGAGTATTAAATCTTCCCTAATAGTGCTTGCAGCTTTATAAGCACATGACTGATAATCTGACCACCTTACCCACTTGCTGCAACAGCTGGCAGGGCTCAGGACCGTGGGCAAATCACTAAACCAGCACCTCAGTTCATTTCTATTTTAGTCTTGACTTACTGAAACCTTGAAGGCAGCAGTAGTGCTGAACTGCTGTCATCTGGCTTTAAGCCATATGTTTGCCAGAGACAGCACATCACTGTCAGGTTCAGCTGTGACTGGAATGCTTAAGGCACTGGCTGAGCATACAACCAATAGGCCATCTCAGCAGACTATGTCCTACTCAGCCCTCAACACTCAAGCAATCTTAGTATCTCCTGTCACCTTCCACAGCCAGCACAGTGCAGCTTCATATTGCCAAAATTTATTGTATTTACTGGCTATGTTAATAGAACTCTTTCATGGAACTTTAGTGAAGCATGGGGGCCGGCAGGCACAAATGACTATGCCAGTAGCAGTTTCTGTTCCTGCATTTGCCTTGCTAAATACATTCTAGCAAGTTTGTGATGATTTTCACAATATTGAGCTATCCAAACCATCAGCACAGATCCTTCTGTTAATCTTTGGTACCCACGAGGTGTACCCAGGTCAAAGCTGCATCCACCCCACCCCACCCCCGGCCAAAAAAGAGACAGAATGTTGGCAAAGCCTCAGGAGGTAGCTGGGAATTCTTATCCTATTGCTCTGAGGGGAAATAGGACTAGCAAAGGAATATTCTTTCCCTTGATTATTGTTCGAAAGGCTTAACCTGAACAAGGGAGAAAGCAGGACAGCTCCTACTCTAGGATGCCAGGACTCGTTTCTGCAATGGTGAGAAAAAGCCAGTGAAGGATTTAGAGATCAGAAGGTGCACCGTTAATATTTTCACTTGCTTACTGTGCACAGACATGCTGCTTCAGAATTCAAAACAAGCAACATTTGGTCTTAATCCCTGCTTCCCATGGCCAGCAGTTATTGCATTGCCTTATCTTGCTAGAGGCTAGCTATATCACAGCTCAACAGGCCTGTAAAGAAGGAAAAAGAACTTGGCTACACCTACAAGATACATCAACATGAATATTACTGAGCTCACAGTACAATGAAATAGCACTGTGCTGCCAAGGACAGTAAGTGTGCACCCTTGACAGCCACAAAAAGCTGTTCACTATGGCTAGAAGACCACAGAAGATATGAATATTGATACATATCAGATGATCAGGATGTTACCTAAGAACAAATAAGAAAATATTAACGAGTTACTTAGTCTGTTGGTATCCTTTGTTCACTTTTACTGAAGTACACATAAATATCCACTTAAGTCTTCATATTCAGAATGTTGGGCTATGTAGTTCACCATCTGACTGTATACTTATGTCAAGGCACAGGACACCAGGGTCAAAGCAGCATACAGACAAATGGTGGGATACCTAGGCAAAGATTTATAGAATTACGGCTGTGGATCTTTCTGCACTGCCTGTAGATCTTCCTTGTCTGTTGCCAGATTCAACCCAAGCCTCAGAAGAAGAGTGCACAAAACAGCCGTCAGAGCTCATATTTTTCTGTGCCACGGCCCAGTTCTTTGCCAAGAAAATGCTAATAAATTACTCAAGGTAAATTCATCCCTCTTTTCCCATGTATGCACATTTTGTACATAATCTGGCTCTTTAACTTCCACCCTTAGAATTATAAACGTTGAGATGTAAAAGGACAGTAGTTAAACATAAAAGAAAAAAATAACCAATGCAACAGTATTTTTCAAAATCCCTCTTCTCTTATTCAATTTTGCTGACTACACTTAATAGCCAGGGTCACATGACTGAGGAAGGAAAACATACAGGGTAGCTTCTTTTCCCCGCCATATACATGCTAGGTATGTGTCATCTCATTTCCATAATTACCTGTGCCAAGGCTGCCATGTCATCTAAATCTGGCAAAATAGGTAGCAAGGATGACTTAAAAACCGTTCCATAATTCATGGCTTGTTCTAGAGTCCCAGGATGGTTTGGAAGCCACCTTTGTTGCCCACTTACCTAGAGCTGGTAATTATGGAAATAAGGCAATACAGGGAGGGAAAAGCAGACAACATGGCTTCTTCTTGTTGTTTCCCCCTCCAGTTATGCAAACCCAGTAGATACGAAGTCAGGATTTTTTAATCTGTTCTCTAAATAATTATTAGACTCCATAAAATTACTGCTACATGTTCCAAACCTTTGGACTACAATGGTATGGGCCAAACTGGAAAGACAAGTATTTTACCCAGTGGCAAAAGTTTCTGGGACAGATTTGCTGCCTTTGCCTAACAAATCACAATAGCTGTACTGACCTTAAGGGAAAATCTTATAGCACAGTTCTGTGTATGTCTTATCAAAAGAAAGCCTTACTAAATTCAGTGCAGTCTAGTCCTGGGTAAGTAGGTATAGGATTGCAGTCTTATTGTTAATTCCACAAGGGGAAAAAGCAGGTGACAACTTGTGCTCATGTTACTCTTCCATGGTTACTTGCAAAAATATTCTCAATTGGCAATGGAAAAAACTACAGTTCTCTTACCAAAAGTGCACCTTGATAAAGAAAGGAGAAAAGCAAAGGAAGGGGGAGGTAAGAAAATCTAGCATTGATCTATTCAATTCAGTAAGTTAGACAGGAAAACCTGTTTCACAAAAAGCAGATCTCAGTACTAAGTGGAAATCTT